TCTCTCTCTCTCTCTCTCTCTCTCTCTCTCTCTCTCTCTCTCTCTCTCTCTCCACACACACACATCTAAATGTCTAGCATCTACAAGTTGTTTACTATAGAAGATGTTCTATAACTTTTAATAAAGGTCTGGAACTTCTAAACTAAGACATCTCCATTCCCACTTCTTCCTACCCCCAAGCAGATTAAATTACATCATCTATATTCCTTGGTACTTCAGTTAAGTCTGTGAGCTATCACTTCACATTATATCTAATAGAACCACTACCATTGGCCTCTGAATTCTGAATCCCCAGATAGTTTAATACAGCTGTTTTTGTAAATTGAAAAAGTATCACAGCTTGTTTTTTTAACCTTTATTAAATTTATTGGGGGTGACATTTGTTAGTAAAATTATATTGGCTTTAAATGTATATTTCTATAATATATCATCTATAGATTGCAATGTGTGTTCACCATCCAGAGTCAATTCTTCCATCACCATATATTTGACCCCCTTTTCCCTCTTCTACCACACCCTCCCCCCGCAACCCCCATCTCCTCTAGTAACCACTAAGCTTGTCTGTATCTATGAGTTTTTGTTTCTTTGTTTATCTTGTTAGTTTGTTGCTTTCAGTTTTATATGCCACATATAAGTGAAGTCATATGGTTCTTGACTTTTTCTTTCTGATTTATTTCATTTAGTATAATCTCAAGATCCATGCATGTCGTCACAAATGGTGGTATTTAATCTTTTCTTATGGCTGTGTAATATTCCATTGTGTATATGCACCATATCTTCTTTATCCAATCAGCAATTGAAGGACACTTTGGTTATTTCTATGTCTTTGCCACTGTGAATAATGCTGCAATGAATATAGGGGCACATATATCTTTAGGGATAAATGTTTTCAACTTTTTGGATAGATACAGAAGAGGAATTCCTGGGTTGTATGGTAATTCTATTCTTAATTTTTTGAGGAATGTTCATACTGCTTTCTATAGTGGCTCTACCTTTACATTCCCACCAGCAGTGTCTGAGGGTTCCTCTTTCTCCACAATCTCTCCAACACTTGTTATTACATGTCTTGTTGATGATAGCCATTTTAACAGGCACAAGGTTGTATCTCTTAGTGGTTTTGATTTGCATTTTCCTAATGGCTGGTGAAGTTGAGCATTATTTCATATATCTGTTGGCTGTTTGTATGTCTTCTTGGAAGAAGTGTCTGCTCAGGTCCTGTGTCCACTTTTTAATTGGATTGTTTGTTTTTGTTGTTGAGTTGTATGAATTTTTTATGTATGTTGGACATAAGCTCCTTATTGGAGGTGTTTACAAATATCTTCTCCCATTCTGTTTCTGGCCTCTTTGTTTAGTTGATGGTTTCTTTTGCTGTGCAGAAGCTTTTTAGTTTGCTACAGTCCCATTCATTTATTTTAGTACTTCGCTTGCCTTTGAGGTCAAATTCATAAAATCCTCTCTGATCCCAATGTCCATAAGTTTAGTACCTATGCTTTTGTGTATGCATTTTATTGTTCCAGGTCTTATGTTTAGGTCTTTGATCCATTTTGAGTTAATTTTGATACATAGAGACAGATAGCAGTCTAGTTTCATTCTTTTGCATGTGGCTTTCCAATTTTCTTAGCACCACTTATTGAAGAAGCTTTCTTTTCTTTATTGTATGTGTTTGGCTCCCTAGTCAAAAATTATCTGCCATATATATGTGAGTTTATTTCTGGGTCTCAGTTCTATTCCATTTTGTGTGTGCCTGTTTTTCTGTCAGTAATGCTATTTTGATTACTGTCACTTTGTAATATAAATTGAAGTCAGGAAGTGTGATACCTCCAGCCTCGTTTTTTTTCCTCAGGATTCTTTGGCTATTTGGGGTCTTTTGTGATTCCATACAAATCTGATGATTTTTTGTTCTCTTTCTTTAAAAAATGCCATTGGGATTGTGAAGGAGATTGCATTAAATCTGTATATTGCTTTGGGTAATATGGCCATTTTAACCATGTTGATTCTTCTAATCCATGAACATGGAATATCTTCCCATTTCTTTGTGTCTTCTTCAATTTCTTTTTAAAATGTCTCATAGTTTTCAGTGTATAGGTCCTTCACATCCTTTGTTAAGTTTTCCCCTAGGTATTTTTTTGTTTGTTGCAATTGCAGAAGGAATTTTTTTTCATTTTTTTTCCTGAAATTTCATTGTTAGTATAGAGGAACACAATGGACATTTGCACATTGATTTTGAATCCTGCAGCTTTACTGTATGTTTGTTATTTCTAATAGTTTTTTGGTGGAGTCTTTAGGGTTTTCTATATGAAAAATAATGTCATCTGCAAAAAAAAAAAAGACAATTTGACTTCTTCATTCCCAATTTGGATGTCTTTTATTTGCTTCTCTTGCCTGATTGCACTGGCAAGGACTTCCAATAGTATGTTGAATAGCAGTGGTGACAGGAAGCATCCCTGCCTTATTCCTGATCTTAGAGGAAAAGCTTTCACTTTTTCACCATTACATATGATAGTGACTGAGGGTTTGTCATATGTGGTCTTAATTATGTTGAGGTAATTTCCTCCTATGCCCACTTTATTAAGCATTGTAATCATAAATGGATGTCGTATCTTGTCAAATGCTTTTACTGCATCTATTTGATATGCTTGTGTGATTTTTATCCTTTATGTATTATATCACAGATTGATTTGCATATGTTGAATCATCCTTGTACCCCTGAGTGAACCTCACTTGATTGTGATATAATCTTTTTAATGTATTATTGCATTGAATTTGCTAGTATTTTGTTTAAGA